AAGGAAAGGAAGAGGGAAAAGAGGGAGAGAGACAGACATAAGCGGAGGAGAGCGGACAGATAAGACGAGGAAGGAGGGCTCGGAAAGAGGAGTGTGGATGAGAGCGTCATGCCCGCTGAGATCGACACGGGCGGGCCAAGGGTGCTGCACTGTGATTACCGTGCCGACTGCCCGATACCGAGTAGCTTCGTCGCTTCCACCGTGCCTTCTTCCTCTTCCTTCCGCGAAGAGAAGAGGCGGAAACTCGTGCCGCGACCCAGCTTGCAACGACATCCCAACGTCGAGAATCGTCGCTCCCCCATCTCCCCCCCGATCGCGCTACACCACCACCCTTCTTCTTCCCTTGGCCGTCGAATAACGGGAATAATTCTCGACCACCCCCGCCATCCCCCCCGCCCCGATAACGCGACAACAACGTCGCGACGGCGATCGTCGTCGGCCGCGATTCGATGCGAGGTATCGCCGTCCCCGTCGGATCGTCATCGCCGCCTTCGTCATCCTCCTGTTCATCCTCGCAGCCGCCCCGCTCCTCCTCCCTCTCCTCGGGGACATGTCGCGTTCGAGCAAGAGGAATCCCGACTCGCCGCCCAGAAGACCCCTCGTCGAGATCCTTGGATAGCGGATCCGGGGAAGAAGAGGAGGAGGAGAAGGGAGAAGAAGAAGGGGACGAGGCGAGGCGACGAGGACGAGCGCGACCAGGTGGATCGTTGCTCGTTGGATCGAAGCGAAACGAAGCGAAACGACGACAGACTCGACGAGGAGGAGGAGGAGAAGGAATCGAGGATCCCGTTCCGTTCGAGGAAACGGCGGGAAAACGAGGAGGCGGCGGGTCAACGAGGTGGTCGATACTGGCGTCCGGACGAAGAAGAAGAAGAGGAAGAAGTGGAAGTGGAAGTGGAAGTGGAAGAGGAAGAGGAAGAGGAAGGAGACGAAGAAGGAAGGTGGTGCTCGCGAGGACGCGAGGAGCCGGCGTGGAAGAATAGTGGTGGTGGTGGTGGTGGTGGTGGTGGAGGTGGTGGTGGTGGTGATGGTGGTGATGGTGATGACGATGATGACGACGACGATGGTGTGGTCGCGAACCGTGGTGCACGGTTCTCTAGTCACTGGAGCGAGGCTTGGACGTACGACGAGGAGGAGGAGGAGGAGGAGGCGAGCATTGCGTTTCTTCCGTCCTTGGCCGATGAAACGTGGAAGGAAGTGGAAGACGCGACGAATTCCTCGAGCGGTGAGTCGCGCGTCGCCAAGGTCGTGGCCGATCCCAGCCAGAAGACCGACTTTCCTTCGTTCGACCACGAATCCTTGACGACGACGACGACGACGACGACGACGACGAGGACGACGACGAGAAAGACGACGACAACGACGACGACGACGACGACGACGAGGAGCGAGCGTAGGACGAGGAAGAAGAAGAAGAAGAAGAAGAGACGCGCGTGCACCGCGGCCAACGATCGTTCCACGTACATTCAGTTAGCGTTACTCTTGTTCCTCGTCGCGTTCGGCCAGTGCGCACTCGGCCGATCCGCCGGTGTGTTCAACAAGAATAATTACAGTGCGAGACCGAGTACGATCGGGTTCAGTGTGTTGGCGATTGGCACGGTTATCAGTGCAGTGAGTGCCGCGCCCCTCGATTTGACGGGTGACGCCGGGGTGAGGGCGGAACGATCGGCCAATTTGTCCCACATCACGGGCGCATCCAGGAAAATCCAGATGTATATCAAGAATCGGCATTTGCAGATCCTGCCCGATGGCACGGTCAACGGTTCCAACGACGACACTTCGGATTACAGTGAGTACAGTCCATTCCTATTACTACCGTTTTACTACTACTATTACTACTACTACTACTACTAGTACCAGTATCGAGTATTGTCGTTTTATCTTTTTCTTTTCTCTCTCTCTCTCTCTCTCTCTCT